GTCTTTGAAAATTATTTTGCATTTTGTTAATGTATATAGTGCTTAAAAATATTTTTTGAGTACTCAAAAAGTACTTAAAAGGTGCTTATTTTTTGTTGAAAGATTTAGCTACACAGCCTGATTAAATATGTATATTATTTGCTGTTACGCGCAATTAGGTATTATAAAAGCGGTCTTTTTTTTTTTTTACACAAATTTGAAAATTGGTTCAATGCAAATTACAAAGTAACATAAATTATATTTACCAAATGTAATTAAGAGGCCTCTCTATCGTCGCCATCATGGATTTTAAGTTAAATTTTTGATAAGCGTTCTCTTGATATTTTTTGTATTTGAACTTTTGATCATATAATATAATTCGACAACACAATTCCTTTTAGAAAAATAAAGGTGTCTTTTTGTTAAATGAGGAGAAACAGTAATAATTGATAATTTTTAGAATTTCTACGAATTTTTCTCAAATCTTGAAAACAATAAAATTTTGCGATTCGTGGTTTAGAGTCTGTCGTTCAAAACTTGTCAGTTTTTTGGATTAATAGAACTGAATTTTATTACGATGTTAACTATTGAAAATTAATCTGATTAAAAAAAAAGTTTTCATGTAAATTACGCAAAAGCAAAGATATTTATCAGAAATCTAAAAGCAAGAAACTTTATATACTATTTAACTACGCTTCAAAAACTACTGATTGTAGAACTTTATTAGTATACTTTTGTAAGAAAAAATGAATAGAGAATCTAGAATAGATGACCGCCTTGTATTTTAGATGTTCTGAAAGATACCTCCAATTAGAGCAACTGTCCGCCATCAGTTTATTTGTTTATTAGTTTATTGGTTTAAGACTACTAATGTTCAACTCTGTAACCTTGTTATTTTGAACCCAATCCAGAAGACAAGGGATCTTCTGAATCAAGTACTGGGAGAAATTTGTCTTCGTGGAGGACTTTTTTGATTAAACTGACCCGAATTTGCGTTACATGGAGAGGAAAACCACCAAAGCCTCCCACGGTTAACCTGATAGCAGGGGGATCCGTTGACCACTGAGGATATTTTACGTCAGCACTGTAGTCGGTGCAAGCCGGGTGCAGAATTCAAAACAACCAGTTATCCCTGGGATCCGAACCTGGTACACCTCAATGGAAGACGAACGCTCTATCGCCTAAACAACCGCGGCTCATCAGTGTATTTGTCATAATTAAATGAAATGAATTAAAGACATATTTTAAATTTTACACGACAGTTGAGTTCGGTTGAGAGGCCAAAATAGCCGTTGTTATTGTAAAATAAGTAAACAAAATAAAATGTCCTTTCAATCTAGGGCAGTGACCAGTTTGGTCAGATCAATAGCTCACACACAATAATTGGACTGTATTTATTTTATACTCATTTATTTTGTACCAGCATTACGGACTCGCTCGTGAGCCCGTTACTCATACACATTACACATACACTGCTGCTTCCAGCACTCAGTTCTACAATTAAATTCAATTTACGCTTACAGCGCCATCTATATGTTTAATGGGAATTAACACTCCCCACGATTGAAATTGCAAATTTCAATAAATTTTACACAATTAGCAATATAATGTTATACACAGAAAAAAAAATNTTTATTTTTTAGTTTGATTTATTTGGTTGTTTTTTTAAAGGTCGATTCGAGTGTTCATCATTTTCGGACACTTTTAATTGACGGCTTCCGCTTTTATCCACTCTCAATTGAAGTACCCTAACAACACTACAGCTACAATTTAAGGTTTCCAATGTCCCCTTTGTTGTAAATTACTAGCACGGTTTTAAATCAGTCTTTTTAAATGAACACAAATGTTTTATTGAAAACTAAAAAAAGAAGAAAAAAAATTATTATTTTTCTGCACAATTATTTCAACAGGGGGGAGCGAATGATTTCATAATGAGACTTTTACATCATAATTTTTAGTTAGATTGAAAGTTATATTTAGTTTAGTTATATAGCATTCAAATGATATATTTGGATTTTTGTTTCACGAAATGATTATATAATATATAGAGAGTTAGAAAGATAGAGAAAACATTCAAAATATTAAAGATTAATTAAACGAGAGGAATAAGAGTAAAAAATTATTAATATATATATTTTTGTGCGCGTGTGTGCTTCCGAGCGTGTGGGTGTGTGAGTGAGTGACATAAAAAGCTTCAACTAATCTTTTTATATTATTCCTTTGTTTAAATATTTTTATTAATCTATTATTCTAAACTAAACGCTCTTTCTCTCGCTTTAATATTCACATCCTGTCTTTTAATCTATTTTTGACTTCAAGTTAAGCATTAATTAACATTTTTGATTTTTTCTCTTTAATTGAACCTTGAGAAAGACCTTTTCCCTTCACCTATTTAATAGACCAATTCTAATTTCTCAGATTTCCCTAATTCCCTAAGACGAAATGTATTATGGATTTATTTTGCAAGATTTTCCCTAATTTTCATCCGGAAGCACTTGGATGATTGTTCCCTCTCTAATAATGATTAAATAAAATTGTGCCCTCTTTCCCTGCCTATGACCTATTTTTATACAATATCTTAAACTGTTAGATTCTAGATCTTTTAACCAATGTTGGACATAAAATTCACATAGCGGTTTTGCTGTCCTTATTGTTATGAACCTATCTCCGTATTCTGGTAATGAATTCTCCAAAGATGAAGCAACTTTTAGATCAAGCAACAGTCAAGGGGCAATTTTGGTTTAATGAAAACATTTTTCCGTTAAATAAGCAAACATTTGCGTTACACGAAAGGAAAAAACACGAAAACATTCCATGGTCAACCCGACGGTAAGCGAAATTTTTCCAGGCTGGATTGGAAATTGAATTTATTGAACTAACGAGTAAGAGAAACGCTCCCTAGAAAAAATTAATTTTACCATTTGGCCAATTTTATTCAAAAAAAAAAAAATTTTTTTTAAACGTAATTCAACTGATCCTGAAAATGTAATAAAATGTTTTCAAATGAGTTTTTTTGTTAAGCATTTTTTGCTTTACATTTTATTTTGTTACGCGAAAACTATAAGTCTTAAAAAATTTTAAATTACGAAGCTGGGTAGAAAAACGATGAAAAAATTATTATTCGCTAATTAATTTGTGAAATATTAGCTGTTAAATTTGAAGTAAAAAATTACCTTGTGAGCTATTCTGCAATACGTAGAAATACAATTGCTAAGTTAAATATTGATGTTCTGAAGTGACTATTTTTATTTATGAACTTAACGAGACTTTTTGTTTTTCGAAATTCCCATTTGTTCGAAAGTTACCCCCACTTTTTTTTTGCTCTAAGCTATGATTATTTATCCAGTGTTATAAAGACATTTAACTCTCTCGCAGTTTTTATTTTATTACAATGGATTACTTTTTCGTATAATTTATTTTTGTATTTAGTATTTATATTATTTGCGATATAGTTTTTATTTGTTCCTGAAAATAACTATTAGTTATCAATTTTCAAATAAACTTATTCCGATTTATTTTCATATTGAATCTATTTGCGAAGTTTAGTTTAGGAAATTCAAATTTTCCGAAGATCCAAAGTCAGAAAATTCATTTCAGAATTCTCACTGTATCTACGCGAAGCCACACCGCTTTTTAAATTCATTTGTGATCGATTTGTACGAAATCATTATTTGTATATTTTTAAAATATTAATTTTTTATTTGAAGACACTGAGTGTTGTACATGTACTTTATAGTAGTTAGCTGACAGTTACAGAAATATGACTCTTCAGTGTTTTCATCATAGAAAAAAAATGGGTGAGAATTTCTCACCCTTTCTCTAAAACAGGGTGAGATTTCAGAAAGTTAAGTGAGATTTCCAAAAAGTTAAAAAACACAAATAGACTTGGAAAAAAAAATCATTTCTTTTATTATAATACATTTTTAACGTCTTCTATTTTTTAAAGCATTGAATATTCTTGCTGCATCATCATAGAAGATTTTGCCTTTACTAGGTATTTGTCCATCTTACATTAGTGCATAAAAAATTTGAACGTCTTACATGAAAAAACCTTACCTACGGTAAACACGTGGTTGCAGAGAAATGTGTTCTGAAAGGGGTTCCGTGGTTCGGTTGTGTTCTGTTGTTCGAAAAGGTTCTGAACAATACTGGTAAATAGGGAAGCTAGATAACGGAGCAAATGTTGAAAATAATGAGAGATCCAGGAAGAAAAGTGAAACGGATTTTATTCTAAATAGCGTAATTCGAAGCTTCTTCTAAAATGCGAGAAATTCGCGGATTTTGAAATTGATTTATAGAATGCGCGAATTTCTCGCAGTAATAATTTTTTAATGCGAGAAAAGAAAAAAATATGCGAGAAAAATATGTTCTCGCGCTGTAGTGAAAACACTGACGAAATTTTTAATGCAGTGGATTAGAATAGATTTTTTGCTGGACTCACATTCGTGAGAATTGGAGTTCGAATCCAGCCTGCCGATAACTCCCCGAGTAGTAAATGGTGGCTGGTGAACGTTAAATTTGTCGGGTCACAAAGTCCCCTATGCTCCCATAACAAATTATACCTCTGGGGTACTAAATTGGAGATTGATCGTTCTCTGGTTCAGGTCAAAATGAAGGAATGGATATGTGATTCGGTCCGCCCTATAAAACGGGTGTGATGTATGGGTGTAGCAGAAGTCAAATTCTTGGCCATAGATGGCGCCACTGGATACTAAGAACAATCGTATCCCCTCTCTTAATGGCTGACGACAACAACAACAAAAATCGTCTAGTGTGTGTATCGTACCCAAAAATGTCCTGATTATTATAATTTTTTTGTTTGTAAAATGTTACCTTGATTTTTGTTTTGAGATACACTACGAAACCTGTAGTACTAAAACTAATAGAATAAAAACAAACTTTTATTTGGATTACAGCTAAATTGAGCATCTAAATTGCCTATTAAATGAATAATGAAACAGAGAAAGTGTATGTCTATGTTTGCTTTTCAAAACTAATGATTGTTTGCTTTTTCATTGCAGGTTGTGTAAATTAAATACTATATATTTATTGCATCATGCCAGGATCCTGTGCACGATGCAGCACCGTTGTTTATTTCAATGAAGAGAAGATTGCCATCGGAAAGTCATGGCACAAGAGTTGTTTCAGCTGCGGTAAAAACACATTTCAATTTTTCTCAAAATTATGCATTTAATGATCGAAATTTAATATTTTTAAAGCTATTACAAAAACATACGACATTTGTTTTATATAAAAATGTCCATATTACCATAAATATTTAAGCTAGGCACCTAATAACGCAAATAATTGTTACAAGTTATAAATTTATATCTACATTTTTTGGCAAAGGTTGTTCAAAAAACACTATTTTTCGTTTGTAATCTGTCGGTCCTTCTAACCTCAAAAAGATTTACACTTCATTGATATTTGTGAGAAATAGCATGTTTTAACTTCTGAAGATATAAAATGATTCTTTAAGTATTTCTTAAGAAATATGAAAATTGTATTATTAATTTATTCTTCTAAAATTGTAAGAAATATTGTATAGCCAGTAAAAATATTAACACCTACCCTTGTTTTTTTTTCTTCCCAAATTTGAAACTTAGTTGAATTCTCCCATACATAAAAATCAAACATTTTCATTTTAATACGTATTACTAAATGAATGAAAAAATTATTACAACGAAATAAAATTTTTAAAAGCAATATCAAAAATAAGGAAAATCTATTTTCTGCTGTAATATTATGTTTTTACAATTAAATATGTGTATTGTTTGCAGTTATTTGTATTTTAAATGTTCTGAAAGGTACCGCCAATTAGAGCAACTGTTCGCCGTCAGTTTATTTATTTATTATAACCGTCGTTGAACAGCCGACCCAATTTTGGTTTACGACTACTAATGTTCAACTCCGTAGCCTTGTAACTTTGAACCCAATGCAGAAGACAAGGGATCTTCTGAATCAAGTATTGGGAAAAATTTGTCTTTGAGGAGGACTGTTTTGATTAAACTAACCCGCATTTGCGTTACATGGAGAGGAAATTAACCAAAACCTCCCACGGTGAACCTGATGGCAAGGGGACTCTAACCCATGCTCCGTTGACCATTGAGGATATTTTACGTCAGCACTGTGGTCGGTGCGAGCCGGGTGCAGAATTCAAAACAACCAGTCATCGCTGGGATCCGAACCCGGTACACCTTATTGGAAGGCGAGCGCTCTATCTCCTAAGCAACCACGGCTCATCAGTTTATTTGTCAAAATTAAATGAAATGGATTAAAGACATATTTTAAATTTTACTCGACAGTTGAGTTCGGTAAAGAGGCCTCTTAACAAAATAGCCGTTGTTATTGTAAAATAAATAAACAAAATAAAATGTCCTTTCAATCTAGGGCAGTGTTTCCCAAACTTATGACTTTTGTGTACCTTCTCTAAATGTTTCGTAATGTTGTGTACCACTAATAAAAAAAAAATGAATCTATTTTTAATGTAACAATCACAACTGGCTGTTGACATCACTAATTATTAACTGTTAACTCTGCCAAAAATAGCCAATAAAAAATACGTAATCGTAAAATTTCATGGCTAGCTTTGTTTTTAAATAAAAATTTTTGAAATTTTCATTTGTTGCAAGATATTTCGCATACGAACGCGTACCCCTGGGGGTGCGCTACCACACTTTGGGAAACGCTGATCTAGGGGAAAAACTTTTTTTTCAATGTTTTACAATGAGATCTTCCATATAAAATAAATTTTGTTCTTTTGTATTTCTTATTTAATGAGTCTATTGTTCACAGCTAATAAACAGTGCAATCGTCGACTTGACAGCAACAACTTAACGGAACATGAAGGAGACATTTATTGCAAATCATGTTATGGGAAACTTTTTGGTCCCAAAGGGTATGGATATGGAGTGGGGGCAGGCGTTTTATCCATGGACACGGCCGATGCTTACCGCAATGGACCTCCCACCTGGTAACTAACATTTCAAGTTGAACAACTCATTCTTTTTTATTCATTATCTCAGTTATAAATCATATCACAGAATAAATGTGTTTATAATTTAGTGAAAGAATCGACTCTTTGAACCAAAATGAGCAAATGTCCACAATTATCGTTGAATATCATCATACTAAAGTCTTTTTCAGGATTCGCTAAATTCCTATTTTTTAAAAATAAAAAAAAGTGTTTCTTTTTTATTTAAAATAGATTTTTTTTATTATTTAAGTCAGTTTTTTTTGCACACATTAATTAAGGCTCTGATAAAATATATTTATAATGCTTATTACTATTCAAAAACAATTAACTAAAGTACTTAATGTTAACTAAAATGATTAAAATAATTATTTAATTATTATAAACTAATTATAGAAAAAGTCATAATTGTTTTTATTCAATCTCAATTTCGAGAGTTTGTAAAGACATTGAATCAATATTTTATTTTAGTTAGATATCAAATAAAATAATAATTTAGTTTAGATTAAAAAAATATTTTAAAAAAAAAAGAAAAAAGATTATTCCAAAGTATTCTCAGCAAAGCAAATCTTCCTTCATTATTTATGTTCTGAAACTTCATGTTTATACTCTAAAAATATTTATACACTACTTTGTAGCTATGAGCTACTTTGTGCCAATTAGTGTCAAAAAATTCTCTGTGTTTCATTATACTAGGAACTATCGTTGGTTCTTGTAATAAAACACGAAGAACCAAAAGTTTTCTGTAGCGTTTCACTACAAAACTTATGTGTAAAGTAGTTGCAACCTTTTTTGGTTTGAAGAAACACTAAAAATATTTACAGTTTACTGTATGATATTGCAAGATTCTCGACCCTGATGAACTTTAATTTTGCAATATGTTTTAGGTAGAATTTTTAAAATTTTTTGGGTACTTAAAAGTTCTGGTTACAATTGTGAAAACAATTGCTTTTACTACCATTAGAAAAAACGTTAATTGTTGTTGTCGTCTGCCATTATGGCAGAGGGTGTGAGATTGTTCTTGTTTTAGTGGTGCCATCTATGGCCAAGAGTTCACACCCTCTTGTAGGGTGGACCCAGTCATACATCCATTCATTCATCCACAGATCGTAATTTTGACCTGAACCAGCGAACAATCAATCTCCAATTCAGTACCCCCAGAGGTTGATTTGTTATGGGAACATGGAGGACTTTGTGGCCCGACAGATTTAACATGCACTAGTAATCGTTTACTGCACGTTGATTCTTCAAGCTCCCGTTCTCACGAACGAGAGTCCAGTGCAAAGAAGTGCAAATGTTGGTAGATGTTACATAATCGAGAGTGTACTGTATTTTGAATATGCTAATATTTTACTGAGTCTAAAACTATTGCTTGATTGCAGCAATATCCCAGCTGTAGCGCAGGCACATGTAGCTCCTTTACAAGCTCCTGTTGTGTCAAAGTCATCACAGCCGAAATGGGGTGGTGCAGACATCTGCCCGCGATGTGGAAAAGCTGTCTACATGGCTGAGAAAATGATGGGTGGGGGATCGGTAATGTATTTATTTATTTTATATAATTCATATTTGCTTTCACCTTTTCATTTAATTTATATTTTACTGTAACAGGCAGGGTGCGTAGAGTTTTTAAAAAGTGCTTAAAGGTGCTTTTTTCATTGAGTGATTTTAAGAAGTGCTTAATTTTCCCTTTTTGAGAATGAAATTTTTCCTTGAAAATGTTGAATTTCGCTACGAATTATGCAAAAAGACACTGTTTACATTGTTCTATTCAACGGTTTCTCCATTAATTCAATCCCAATCTATTTCGGCGTATTGGCAGTCCGTAGCATATGAAAACGCCATTCGTTTTACATGAATCAAAATTTCTTGATTTTTGACAATTGTCAAAAACAATGCCATAAGGTTTTTTTTTATTTATTTTTATTATTATTATTATTATTTTGACATGACGTTTAAAACAAGATAAAATTGTCAGTTCTCAAAAACTTTCCAACCCTGCGTAATTATGATATATTTTTTAAAGTGCTTAAAAATATTTTTTAAGTACTTGAAACGTGCTTTTAAGTTTTGTTCTTATTTTTTGTTGAATAATTTGGCTACGCACCCTGACAGGGGTAATTGTGACACAAAGTAAAAAAAACCGAAAATTTTATGCGCAAAAGATCGATCTCGATGGTGCAAAATATCAATGCATGTTTCGTATCTAATATAATTTTTTGAACAAACATTTATAATTAAATAACCTTCCAATAAATATATATCACACCTTTATAGTCATTTCGAAAGTTCGAAACATAAATCAAGCAAAAGAAAAGAAGAATTTCTAAAAGAAGAATTGTATGTTAGTAAAAACAGCACTTCATGTTATAGTAACTAATTCAAGGAGTAAACCTAACTTCTTCAAGAGCCGCGATATTAGATTTTAAAATCACGTGAATATGAATCACGATATTGGATTTTAAAAACGCAAGAATACAAATTGCGATATAGATTTTTTTTTTGAAATCGCGTTGAATACGAATCATGATGCATAATTTTTAGGTCTCGCGAATACGAATCACATTTCGCAGTTTCTAAATCACGTATACATGCGAAAATTGATGTTTGATATTACAACTGCGTGGATACGAATCAGAAAATTGGATTTTAAAAACGCGTGAATATAAATCTTGACAATGGATTTTAAACTCGCTTGAATACGAATTGTGATATTGGTTTTAAAAAGGCGTGGATAGGAATTGCGACGACGCTTTTTAGATCGCGTGAATAGAAATTGCGATTCACGATTTTTAAGTTGCGTGAGTACGAATCGCATGGTGTAACTTTCAATTCGGGTAAATACGAAAATCGCTCTATCCCCTGAGCCGCGATGGCTCAGGGGATAGAGCGTTCGCCTTCCAATGAGTTGAACCGGGTTCGAATCCCAGTCGATACGAATTTCTCATCTGGCCTGCACCAACCACAGTGCTGACGTGAAATATCCTCAGTGGTAGACGGATCATGGGTAACAGTCCCCTTGTCGTCAGGCTAACCGTAGGAGGTTCTCGTGGTCTACCTCTCCGTGTAACGCAAATGCGCGTTAGTTCCGTCAAAAAGTCCTCCTTGAAGGCAAATGTCTCCCAATACTTGATCCAGGAGTCCTTGTCTTCTGAATTGTTTTCAAAATTACATGGCTACAGAGTTGAACATTAGTAGTCGTAAACCCGAAAATTGAGTCGGCTGTTCAACAACTGTCATAAAATATTAACTGAAAAAATACAAGATATGTTCAAAATAATGATTTGTAAGCTTTTTTAGAAATTTCATAAAAACTATCCACTCTATTCCCCTTTTTCCTGAACTTGCACATTATACTGAAAAACAGAATCCCTTAATAACTTTTGATCTACTAATCAGATTTTCACATGCTAAGATGTAATCCTGATCAAATATCCAATTAAAAAAAAAAATTTTTTTCATTTAAAAAAAATGATATTAAAGAGATTTTAGAGTCTTAAAAAAGCTTCCCACTTACACCCTTTTCACCTCCTTGTCAGTAAAAAGTAAACTTATCAAAATTCCCTTCCCCTCTTTAAGTTCTTACCTAATATTTGAATGACCTAAATCACATTTAAACTGCACCTTCAACTGAACTGGTTTTAATTTAGTTTCTTCTCTCCTTTATTAATATCGACACTGGAAATCAGAGGTTAAAAATGATTTTGTTATTTTTTGTGTGTATTGAGCTCCTCATTGTGTGTATTTTTTTTAACTTCATTTTTTGAAAAAATTCTTTAAATAAACAGGATTTTCTTAAATGACCACTTTTTATACATATTTTTATATCATCCTTGAAAAGAAATAAAGAATTATTAGGGTTGACACATTAATGTTTAAATTATAAAAGAAGAGTATCAGTTGCTGACCAATCGTTATCAAAGCAATTTAATCAGATGAGTAATTAATATATTCCATAATTACTTTATTTAAAGTTGGGCTGAGAGTTTTATGGATTTGTTTTATTTTCTGCACATTTGTAATTAATATGCATTTAGAAAAGCATTAGTTGTTTTGGCAAATTGATATTTACTAACTCTTACATTTATTATATTATTTTTTTAAAATCATAAGGAAAGTAAAATTAATGTATAACTAAATGATTTGAAGTATAAATTTTTTAATTTATGTCGATATAATGTCTATTTTCTAATTATTTAGTTTTTGAAAGCATCAATCGCTGTATCTTTCTAAAAAATATATTTTTCCTTTTTTTTTTTCTTTTGACTCCTAAAATAGATATTTATCGTGACGTTTTTACATATCCTCACTCATGTAAAAGTAGTCAGCCATAATTTTCCAAGTTTTAAGAACCAGAACAAATGCTTTTGGTTTTTGATAAGTTAATATTTTTAATTCTGGACATTTATTTTTTGATAAGTTAACAATTATTCTGTACTATGGGACAGTGTAGAAAGTATCTTGTATATACTTATGTATATAAAAAATGCTTTCTATATTGTCTTGTGCAATTTTGCATTTCATCATATAAACCATTTTTGTAGGCCTGGCATAAGACGACATGCTTCAATTGCAAGGAGTGCCACAAGAGATTAGAATCGATGACATTATGTGAGAGAGAAGGAGAGATATACTGCAAAAGTATGTATTGTTTAATAAATCTGAATTATAAATAAGGAAATTTGAACATTATCATTCATTTTTATTATTTAATTTAGTCATCTTCTGCTTATTTAATTGCAGTAGTTATTTAATTAGAAAACTAGTTAGCACCAGTCACTAACTTAAACTATTAATGAAAGTCTCTAACATTCTAACATTTTGTAATTATAAAATAGAAAAGATCATTTGGATTTGCTTGTAGAGTAAAAGATTTTTTATAATGCCAACTTTGAAATGCAAGAATGCTTTGAAATTCTTTTCATTTAATAAAATTTAATATTTTATAGTTCATTTAACATGCCTTTACATTTCCCTACTAAACATAGCAGTAATAATAGTCTACAACATACCAATCATAAACTGTTTTAAAATAATTTTTATTATTTATAAGGAAACAAATTAAAGTTTTCTGGATCATTAGAACTAATAACAAACAAATGAATTAATGTTCATTAGTTTTATTTTTGAAATTATCACCTTTTAACAAATGATTTTAAAAGTCAAGGCTGTTCTACAAAAGCTACGTCGTAATACGAAATTATGTTTTTTTTTGCGAACAATATGGTATTTTTATAACTGCTGTGAGTTTGCACCTGTTACTCATGACTGTTTGGTCAAGTTTAGCCTATCTAAAGCCAACGCTGTCTATGTTTACTTTGAAAATGACGCAAAACGTCAGAATGGAGAAAAGCCACAGTTGAATGAAGTGAAAAGTGTTTGTGATCTAATTTTTTTAGTATTTAGAAACTTACTCCAATGCTGTATTACCTCTGCTCATAAAATTTTGCAGAAACTGAGAATTAGGCAGTGATTTTGATAATTTTCACCTGGGTTGGAAAATGTCGCCAAATTGATGATTTTTAAAAAAGTTAAATAACTTTTAAAATACATAAGTTATTTGTCTGTTCTAAAGCCCAGATAATTCTTCACGGCAAGATTATATAGTTTAAAATCATCTCATTGCTTCAAGTGTAAGTCACTTAAACTGTGGCTTTTTTATTTTCCTTTGCGACAGAGCTTATCTACTATTTTCAGTGTTTACACTTGAAAAAGTTTATGTGGTTTAGGGTTTACAAAGTTGTGTTAGATATATCTTTAACTGTATTAAGAGAATCTCAATTGATTTGACTTCTTTTCAATAATCAATAAAATAGGTTATATGTATTCATTCCAACCAATTGAAAGTGTCTTGAAAAATCTTGTATGTCAAAACTAATAAGTACTCTTAGAAGAGCTTTTAAGAATATCATTATTGGTATTCATGCATATTCTATATGAAATGTCAATGGAACAAGTTTAAGCAAGGATTCTCTTTTGAATAATAATAATTTTGAAAATCAAAGTATAATAATTCGACTGTGTGTTATTAATAAAATATATTTAAAAATATGCTTGTTATGATATATAAAAAAGAGGGCATTTCGGGCAATTCAAAATTATTGTTAGTCAAAAGTATTTTAACCTTAAACTTTTTTAGTCTTCTATTATTCGCTATTGCAACACTCGAATACACCATCTGAGGAGAAGATCGGTTCCATGTCTTAACCCTCTCTTTCTCTTCTTAGTTTTATAGGAATGTAATATGATATTTTCCCGTTTTCTAATACATTTTGTATTTAACTGTCAAAAATGTTCTTTGAAATTTCCATGGCGCTTTCTTTTAGAACTGTTCAATGAAGTTTTCAATTCCATATAGTTTCCCTAACTTCCATAGTTAAGCCTATCTAAAGTTTACCCTAACCATTATTTAATGTATCTTCCATATAGCTTTCTTTATAGTTCACTTGTAGCCCATTTCGATTACCAATAGGCGCAAATTTAGTATAGAATCTGATTGCGCCATTTTTAAAAGCTGTTATTATGAAATTGCAAAATGGGAAAAAAAGATTTAAAAAAAAATTTAAGAATGGCTACAGTGGAATGGAATTCTTTTTCTATATGGTTACAAAAAAGACAAAGAGAGTGCATGTATAAGGTTCAAAGGGCATTCAGGGCGGACTGCCCTTCTAAAAACGCTTAGGGAGAACACTGTAACTTACTAGGAATCTTTTCAGCAAAAGATTGAGAAACAAGAATTCACAATAAAATATTTTTATGAAAATAACTTAATTGTTTTATAATATATTACTGCTTATTATTAATGTTACGTAAATTACATAATTGTATAATTATTTACTGCTTATGAAAAAATGAAGCAAGTTCAAATAATTTATTATTTTGAATTTTTATAAATACCTTAAACCATGAATTTGTATTAACATTTAGATTTCATTTTAGTAATTTTTTAGCGTGTTATATAAAATAAAATTGTTACTGGAATTTATCTGATTTTTGAGACAAACTTGAATAATATATACTATTTTGTAATGTTTTAATAAGCACTATACAAATTGCATATGGTGAAACGGTATTGAGATTTCATTTTAATACTTTGTTTATATACTATGTAATATAAAACTAGTATTATTTTTTTAAAAATTCATATGCTATCAAGTAAACAAAATTTATGTATTATTTTACTTAAAATCATATAAATAAAGAAAAAATAAGAAAATGAAAGTTAGCAGAGCAGTTATTATAGAAAAATACTTTAAAAAACATAACGGTGGCGTTCCTTTATAAAATCTAAATATATAAATAATGTAATCATTAATTTTAAAAACTAGCCAAATGACTCTTGAAAAAATAGCGAATGGTCATTTTTAATGGTAAAGGTTTGCTGAAATAATCATTTGAATTACATTATCATTTAATATGTTTTAAAATAACTTTCATTTGCAGTATTGTACTTTGTTATCCTAATCATCAAAGTTTAAGAATCAACTTTCTGATTCTTCATTTGAATGTGCTTTAACATTATTATAACATGTTTTTATTATTAACATAGCATGTTTTTATTATTATTAAAACATGTTGGAGCTGCCTTAGTGACTTCAAGGCAATTCCATAATACAAAGGTCAACATAACGAAACAATAAACATTTAATGCTATTCCTCTATTAACCAATTTTTTTATTAACTACTTTAGATTAAAAAAAATAAAATTGTAGTTTTTAAATATTTTATAATAATATTAATAAAAAAAAATGTTTATTAAAATGTTAATATAGTTTTTATTTGTAGCATAGTCACTAGAACTTTTTCTGTATTAGCCACTTTTTCTATGTCATTTTATGAGTACTTTCAATGTTTCCTGTTAATGTGAAGAATCTTTTAAATAAATTTTAAAAAAAATAATCCCTTTTCTGTTTAAAAAAGGAGTATTTTAAAATAAAAATATAATGTTTTACTCCATGTCTTTTTTTATGCAACGTCAGTTATATTTTATCTTTATATTCTAAGTAAATCATTTATAATTTTCTTTCCTTTTTCTTATATGCATAGCTTTATATACAGCTTTTTCTAATAATATAAGGATATTGAAAAATATCTCATACAACTTTTAAAAAAAAATTAATAAATAGTCATGAATAAGAAAACCTATCAAAATGTAATGTCAATCACCATGGAATTACCCCTCTACTTCCTTAAACCTTATATTTTCATAATTATGGATTTCACCACCCTTATTCCCTCAGATGTGGTGGCTTCTGTTTTGCTAAAATTTTTGTTAGCAATACAACATTTTTTGTATTTATTGTTTTGTTATTTTTATATATTTATTGTTTTATTATATTGTCAAACTTGAATAGTTATCAGTTTTGTAATGCATAGACCTTTGTTTGGCGCATTATATGGGCTTAAAGCGATTATAAACTACTTCAAATTTAGTTTTTGTAATGAAATCATTTTATATGTACAGTGAAAATTTCATCTGATGAATGTGGCACATAATGAAAAGTCTGCCATTGCAAAAGATTTCCAAGTCACTTTAAATTGCTATATAAACTATACAAAAAGTGTATGAGTTAAATATTAAAAGTTTTCTGCTATTACAACAAAAAATTTTGTTGGGAATACACTTTTATGTTATTTGAATAAGCATTATATGAACTTGGTTTAAATAGAAAGATTTTATTTATTTCTGACATTAATACCAAAAAGCTATAAACATTATTTCCCTCTTACAGTTTGAAGGTCTTATTTTTATTAAATAATGTGTCGGTGACCATCAGGTAAATTACATTCTTTATGACAAAAAGAAAGTACTTTTACTATGTTTAAAAAATATTGCATTTCATTTCCCCTTTTGTTCATCTCCTTATTCCTTTCTTAACAACTTATTGTTAAGATCAGCATTCCTATTATCAATGATAACTTTATTTCAATTTCTTCTTTTAAAAGCTTGCTATGATTTGAAAAATTTGTTGTTTGAACATTCCTGTCTGAGACGTATTGTAAGTCGAAATAGTGGTACAAAATAAAAATAAAAAACGAGGTTAATGCAGTGAAACATCTCAGGAGTCAATACTCTTTATTCCACAATAAAATAGTCATTAATGGAGGTTGGTCATTCTTTGGTGTTACCCCCATTGACTTTAAAATGTTATCGAAGGTACATGATTTTTTGAAAGTGATTTTAATTTGACTCGGTGTAATTTTCTTGATGCTTGAAAGCCAGTTGTGTTGGATCAATGAATAAAATTTACCATCAATAAAAATGACTCCTACAGATAAAGTTATGTGTAAAAACAAATTTACCAATTGTGAGTGATAGAACTGTTTTAATTTAATAAACAATTATTTATTTGTTTAAGTGTGCATTTAATTTTAAATCATAAAAAATAGTTTGTTTTAAAAAACAAGAAGAGGTTTGTTTGAGATGCTAAGTTTTTTTCTGAAATAACTTTTTTTATTGAATTTAAGTTTCAACTCGCACTGCAGCATGAGATTTTTTTAATCTCCTTTAGAGATCGCCAAAAAGAGCTCTTTAAATAAGATCCACTCACAAATATCTTGAACACTTTTGAGTCTAATTATTTTTAAAAAAAATATTTTTTTGTGTTTTCCTTATGTGACCTTTTCCGCATTTTCGTGTTCCGCGGAGGTTTGCTGTTACTGGTAGGGAGAGGTTTTGATGGTCTCTCCTTAATGTTTTCTTCAGCATAAAGTTTATGGAAAAAGTTCAGTGCCTCCCAAAAGTGATCTTAAATAGAGAAGGTCGCTACGCAGAGGTGATCTTTCTTGGAGGTTTCCCTGTATATCAATTAAATTTTTCGTTTTATTATTGCCATTTGAACACTAAATATGAGCACTTACTTATAACGGCAATCTCCCTATAGCAACAATTTTTGTCTTTTATTATGAATTGCTGTTATAACAGACTTTAACTGTATTTTCTAATGAATATATATGATTTTTTTTTAAATTTCCAGCCTGCTACGGGAAAATGTATGGACCCAAAGGCTATGGATATGGCAGTGGAGCTGGCACTCTCCAAATGTCTTAATTGAGATGCACAAGAACTTTTATCTTTTTTTTCCCAGTCCCTTATAGCATCTATTCATGACACATTTCCAAGAAGAAACAAAAGAGCTGATTTAAGGCAGCTGCACTAAAAGCGGTTTGCTTTGATTTTAAAAAGACTAATTTTGTAAATTGCCTAATATCTTGTCATTTTTCAAACTATACGTTATTCATTGTTTGTTTGTATACATTGTGCTTTTTTGTGTTGCATTTATGTTGCATTATTTTGTTTATATCTTAGCACAACTTTAAATCAAAATTTAATAGTTAGCATCAGTAGATTTTGCTTTTAACTAATAATGTTTTTATTTATTTTCACTTTATTAGTAATAATATAAATATATTTTAATCTACTAGAATAATTAGTACTGTTAATATCAATTGTTATAATAACTGTAGAAGATCTTTATAAAGCAAATCTTGAGAAACAGGCTTTGTGTTCTATAGAATTTTAAGTTATATCGATCATTTCACATATCATTAAGCTTACCTTATCTGTTAAATGCACAATATATATATCTGGAGCTAATTGATAATTAAATACTTTAAAATAATAATTAGATGGAAGTTAAATTAAAACATGAAAATACTTTTAAGTGTCTCTTATTTAAAGGAAAATAACTGAAATTATCGAAAATATTAAAATTAACAAAAACAAGAATCATAAGCTTTAGTTTTTTTTTTTTTTTTTTTTGAGTGTTTAGCCACCTTAGCAATTAATTTTCTGTGAATAATGAATGACTTTCGCTTAATTACAGAAATTTCTCTAATGCAATAGGCAACTAATGAGGGTTGAACCCTCTGAACTTTTTCGCTTTCTCTGTAAACATTTGACTTAACTGTAGTTATTGTTCGTAGTAGGAAAAAGGTTCCACAGATTAAAGAGGAACAAGCAAGTATTTGTTTAGATTTTGAACGAATTTGTAGCAAATATTTATGTTTTTCCTGTAAATTCAGGGTTGCCACAGACGACTAAAATGCAACTATTTTTGGCATGAGGCGACTATGGCAATTTTTTTGCCTGAAAAGGCTAAAAAAGCATCTATTTTCAGGAAAAGGAGACTATTAGGAGACTTTTCAGAACTCTTAGCAATGTTTTTTTTAAAGCATAAATTGGATGGAAAATCGGCACCCCACAATATAGTTTCTGAACACATTGAACTTTTTTTTTCTCAAAAAATAAAAAATTGTGAAAATTTTGAATTGCAAATTTGAGTCTTCACTTTTTAATTCGTTCAATCTACACAGACTCCATTGTAAGTCTATTTCATTTTTCGATCGTCTTTTCAATGATTATTGCTACGAAATTCCGCATGATTTTTTAAAAAAATAAAAAATTTATACGATATTACGATGCCTGAATTTTGAATTTGAGTGATCACTTTATGTATATAAACATTTACGTTTATATAAAAATTATCATATTTGCCACCTGAATGATCATGGTATATGACAATTAAGTCATTAGCAAAATTTTAGTCATATTTTTGATGAATTTTTGTTTTTAGTTAGGCAACTATTTCCTAGTTTTTTGCTGCTATTTTCATGTTTTTGGCAACTATTTTGTTCATTTTTTTCTGTGGCAACCCTGTAAACTTGGTTACCAGCTAACTTCACTACATCACAAAATGAAAAAAGACTAGTTGTTAATTTTCATTGTTTACGCCGGCAAAAATAGTATGGTTTATAGCGAGTTATAGTTTCTAGAATGGCTTTATGTAGATCTTCTATTGTTTGTAGCTCAACTAATATTGTATGAAAAAGTTGCACTTTGTTAAATTTGATCTAGTGTAGTAATAGTTTAGGAACTAAATTAATATTGGAAATTTTAACTGTATGTTGCCTATGATCAACTTTTTTCCTACAAATTCAATTTACTGCTAGAAAATGTTGCCAAAACAATCTGTTTACATGTTGTTGTTAATAGCTTCAAATTTTAAATAATGATGCCAAACAATGTTTAATAATTAAATTTTTATTTTGTGTTTTGACATAAATTGCTTGTATGACTGATTAAAACAAAACTAATTTAAATTTCAGTGTTGACAATGTTCAAGAATTGTTTGGTACTGGGTAGTTATAAATTAGTGAACTTGGAGCTCTGATATTTCAAACATTCCACAAAGATTTAAAAAATTTCATTGATCAGATAAAATAGTAACGAAATCAGTATTTTTTTTGGAGTAAGTAAAGTCTCCATATTTTTCGTTCATGTTATATTCTCCATATTTTATCATTATTCGGCTATCAACTCTAAACTGAAAATTAATCTTGTACGAATCTAATTTACAACAAATGATCTGTAATTAAATTCTCAAGATTTTGATAACATTTTATTTAGCTCTAAATAGCCATACTTCTTGTTCAAGGAAAAAAGTATTTCAAAATAATACTGAGAATTGGAAATATATTTTTTTAATGGTGTTGTAAATGCTTTGGCTGTTTATTTCCGCAAAATAAGCAAATTTATCATAGTACATATTCAGAATTGACTTTTTTGAAATTTCTGTCTGATTAGCTTAATTTTTCAATCCAACAGAATATTTACAAAGATTTTCTGTAGAGGATGATTTTTTTCTTTTCTTTTTTTTTTTTTTTTGAAGAGGGAACTTTCAAAGAGTATACTTTGAATAAGAGAATTTGTTTTTGCATGATTATGAAACATAAATTTTAATTGTACTTTTCAAAAAATTGTTGAATGGTCATAGTTTTTTAGTGAGCATTTTGGCATTATTTATATCAATAAAAATATTTACTAGCAGAGTTCTGCAATATTTCCTGAAATAATCAATATTTTTTGAAATGCTACTACAGTAATATTCTAAAATATATTCTTATAATGTATTCTGATACTGCAAACATCAATATCAATAATAGCATGATTGTTATAAGCAACAGTAACTGTCAAATACCATAATATCTTAATCGTTATCAACAAGATAATTGTCAAATTCAATAATGAAGTGATCATTATCATCGACCTTTATTGCTATGGTGAATGTCGATTCTAACTTTTTTTAATATCTATTGTTATATATTTAAAATTTCTCATTGAGTGTTTTAAATAATTAGTGATAAAAATGTTTAAACTTTTTAATTCCATTCAGTTGTAAAAAGTGTGCCTATTGTTAAAATAATTTAACTCAGCAGAGCTGAAATGTTTATATTTTCGAATAATCTATCATAATATTGAAATTGTGATGTCACTTAGCACTAGTTATAACTAATTTGAACAGCATACAACATTTTGAATTGTAATCATTTTTCACAACCATCTACATTTCCTTTGCTTTTAATTACTTTTACCCACTAGTAATTATATCAACGAAAATATTTTTGAGATTTAATAAATAGAAGGTGCAGCAAAAAAACTGGGACAAAGAATTTTTAATATAACTTTATTAAAAATTAATTAATTAATAAATAAAAAAAATTTAATTATGCATATTATTAGTTAATTTGATTAATTAAAATTATAATTATTGTAAGTTATGACAAATATTAATAAGAGTATACCTTTACTAAAAAATTTTTTTCATTGGTTGCAAACTGGTTGCCTTTCGCAGCAATGCAGGGACACAAACGTTTATTTGAATTTTTACCTCTGAGGCACAAATGTAATTTGATTGTGAATTACAAGTAAAAAATGATGCAATCCATGGCATATGGATTACATCTTACTTTGCGTGTAATTTATGGATTTTGCGTGGCATAAAAAAAAAAACGATATGTAAAAACTAAGAGATATATGTAAAACATTTTATAATTTATTGAACATATGAATTAAAAAGAAACTAGTAATTTCCATTCTAACATTCTGTGATGAAATGACTTTGTCCGAGTTTTTTTGCCACACTGTGTAAAGTTTGTTAGTTTTGAAGATAATATTTTTTCTTGAGAAAAAAATGTAATTCTCAAGATAACAAAAATAATCACAGATTCATGCATCTCTGTTTCATTTTTTTTTTAAAATTAAAATCTTAGTCAAAGTGATAATATAACACCAAAAAAAGAAAAAGAGTAGAAATTTTTTTATTTATGACTACGGTACCAGAACGATATGAAAATTATAATTTGTAGTTTGATTGTAACATTAAATAATGATGGTACAGTACAAAAGATTTCCACAAAATATCATTTCTACCTCTCTGTACGAAATATGAATTCCATTTTTACTGAATTTCGGAAACTTTTTTAATTTGCTTTTAGAATTTTTTATTTATTTATCTACCTTCTAAGAGAGTTTTAACTGGCATATGAACCTGTGTTCGACTGTTTAAAGATATCTCTCTCAGAATTTCATTTGAAAAAGAAAGTTGTTTTGCAGAAAAAGTTGCAGGACTAATTGCAAGAGTATTCCTTTAAGGCTTTCGGAGGGTTAAGTTATAAATTCCATTTTTTCTTATTAAAAAACTTATTCATTCCTTCAAGTATTTACCTTTTGTGGTTCTATTTTGTTGGCATTCAATAGGAATTGATGTTTGAAAGCTCCCTCATGAAGTGTTAAAATGTTCAATAAATACTTATAGAAACAGCATATGCATAAAATATGTTTTTGTTTTTTTTTTCATTTGCGTCTAATGAATTTTATTAACAATTTTAGCTTGTCTACAATCATATTATCTAATTGACAATTGTATAGTGTTTCAATGCATAGAAAGTTAATTTTCTTCCAATATTTTAGAGCATAAGTATAAAAATAGCTATAAAAAAATCATTATAATCACTGTATAAAGAGTCTTATAAATTATAAAATCTTTAAACATCTGCTTATGCATTTGTAAAAGGTGATTTGTATCGACCATCCTTAATATATATTTTTAGAATCCTTTTGGAAAAAAAAGCTCAGAAAGGATATACTAGAATTATAAATTAATATATTGAATTAAAAAAAATGTGAAAAGGATGTTTAAATCTAACAAATCAATACTGAGCATGACTGCTAGGAACATCTTCAAATTTTTTTTATTTGTCTCGGTGAAAGAGTTTTGAAAAACACTGTTAATAGGCAGGTATGTGTGTTCATTTATTTATACGTATATTTACTTATTTTCCATTTTATTAATTTTCTGTAAGGAAACCCTCTTTATTTGAAACAAAATATTTTTTATCTAAGAAATTTTATTTTTATTATTCCAATTTTTGTGGACCAAGCATTTTTATTCTGTTTATTTCTTAATATTATCATATGTTTATTTTTTTTCTATTTCATTTTCAGTGTTTTATGTGTAAATAGATGTGTTACATTTTAGATTGTTGATTATATTATGCTTTTCAAAATATTTTCTTTTTTAATTTAAACTTTGATTTTATTATGAATTTTTTTTATTTTAATCATTTATTCTACCTCAATTTTTATAAAACTTGTTTATGTCTATGGTTGTGTGATAAGTTTTAAACATGACAACGGAAATATTGTGTTTTTTTTTTATTATTATTATTTATAGGGTTAAGTTAAATTTTATAACCTGAATCAAGTAGTGTCCATACGTGAAGAAGGCTATGTTTATAAAGATTTTTTTTTCAATTACTGAAATTTGATTTGCTGTAATAACTATATTTCAGTTAAATAAGTTTTGAATCGTAAACTGACATTTTTTTGATGATTTACCTAAAGATTGTTAATGAAAAAGTTTTACAAAATATAAACCTATTTTCTGTCATTTGCTTTTTTTTTTTGTTGTTAAATTTCATTATTTCTGCTTATTTTTCTTTGAAATTAATTGTAAATTCGAAGATTTAAAAATGCTGTTGTAAACTTTTATTTCATTATTTGTGCAATAATTTATTACCTTGTCACAAGTCATTTGTTGCACAAAGACTGATTTATAACTATCCACTTTGTTTTAATATACTATAGAAGCAGTTAAACTTTGTACCCCAATATTATAGTAATTTTGTTGAACTATCTACCTTTGTATTAACTCAACAAGGAATTATGTAGCGTCATCTTGGAAATAATGTATGTAATTTAAATTGATAGTTATATTTTGAGAAAATGTTATATCGAGCTAAAATAACTACCCTTTTGTAGTGTGTGAAATTTATAACCTTTAAAAAATTACTGTATTTTAGTAATAAAATGCAGATCTGAACTTGTGTCCTCTTTATCGGAGTATACAACACAATTAAATACTATTTTATTTTCAGTACGCATTATACGTAATGAGAATTCACATGAGGAGCAGTACCAACTGCTGCTTAAATATGGCTTTATAGTCACACATTGGTGTATCCAGGGGGGGGGGGGTTAGAACCTCCTCTGAAAAAAAAATCATGTTGTGTTCCATTAAATAAGGATGATTTTTTTTTTCCAATTTTTTTGTGTTTTCCATTTACTTATTTTGCAATTAAAGCAAATTCTTACTTACATGTTACATACTAAAATGTTAATACGTACCTTGTTCCAATTCTAATTTTCTTCTTTTTTTTTGTTCCAAAGAATATCTCCTCTTCTTATCAGTTTCACCTTGTATTTTCTCCTTTCTATCTTTCAAAACGTACAGCTTGATAGGTGCTTTATAATAAATTTCCAGAAACTTCATCTTGCTAGTATTGTTATAAAAAGAGTGTTTCACTGGTTTGTGGTGAAGGGTCATTTGATGAAAGAATAATCTGGGCATGTGAAACTACTTTTGTAACAGCATTAAATTTTCTACAGAAGGGCCAGGATAACCTGGTTGGTAGGGCACTTGGCCCAGGTCTAAGAGTTTGTGGGTTCGATCCCAGCCGGCCGGAGACTGCCTGTGTAGTAAATGGTGACTGATGCACGTTAAACAGGGTGCATAGCGTTTTTAAAAGGTGCTTAATTTTGATTTACGTTTTTTAAAAGCCCTTAAAGGTGCTTTTTTTATTTGGTGTTTTTAAAAAGTGCTTAATTTTCCCTTTTCGAAAGTGAGATTTTTTCTTTTCCATGTCGATTTTTGCCATGTATTATACAAAAGTGTGGTTTCCACATTGTTCTATTCAGCGTATGAAAGCGCCAATCATTGTACATGTTTGATGAAATACTTGGGAGTCCATATGTGCATCTACTGAGCTAGTTTTGGTGAGATTCATGCAACTCTGCTGCATTTTGGCAGATATTCTCAATTTCATGCTTCATTTTTCACCCTCTGAAATCGAACCGAAAATCTTTCGATCTTTTTGTGGTGGTTATGTAATCAAGAGATAAGTACATTGTCAGAAACTAATTATTTAATCATGATCTTGTAAAATTTAAAAAAGGTAATTTTACATTTTGCTAATGTAAATGGTGCTTAAAAATATTTGTTTAGTGCTTGAAAAGTGCTTTTTTTTGTTGAACGATTTGGGTACTCACCCTGTTAAATCTGTCGAGTCGCTAAGTCCTCCACTTTCCCATAACAAATCAATACCTTTGGGGGGGGGTACTGATCCAGGAGTTTTATTGTCTTCTGGATTGGTTCGAAATTACAAGGCTACGGAGTTGAACATTAGTAGTTGTAAACCCAAAAATTGGGTCGGCTGTTCAACGACGGTTATAAAATATAAGATATACTTGTATTTTCTACGGTAATGCGGTTTTGTATTACAAGCAGTCTAAAGTTTTTCTTTTTTGGAATAGGAGTAAACTTGTATTGTAGCAAGGTTTGAATAATAGGAATCAGACTGACTCATATTTTACACTCTTTTGATGTTCCCGACTTCCACAGAGACTTCGGGAAAGTCTCTGTCTCTCTACCACTTACTGCAAGTTTCCTGGATATTTCAAAGGGAGCATAACCACGGGTGCGTGGTTAAAAAAATAATGTTGGTTTTAGGAAGCAATAATTAAGGAGAAATTATGTATACAATGGTTTTTGAGTTAACATTCACAAAATGGTTATAAAATGATTTTTTTGAGATAAAATATTTTTAAAAATGACAAGTACTTGCCTCACAATTCACGCAGTTTGAAACTAAGATTTTAGATGTCAGTGACCTTACAGAAATGTCACTTTTACCTATTTCTGCTAAAGGTATGGCATTAAATATGGTTGATAAACCTCGCAATTTTGATCGTCTGACCATGTTTAAGAGGAAACGAAAAAATTCGAGGCAAAAATAAAAAAAAAAAAAAAAAAAAAACAAGAGATCGATTGGTTTCTATCTTTCTGGAGTTTTATATGTATATTGAAAAATTTTAATATAAATGTTATGATTTTTATCTTGGAACATCGAATCTCTTTCACATATTTTATTTTTTTCATGCTTTTGACATTAAGTCGTGCTCGAGCACATAAAGTAAAGATATCGAGAACTAGGGATTGAATCATTACATAAAGTGAGAAAAAAAATAAATTGCAAAAGAAATCACTTAAAACTTCGATAAATTTTGAACAAATTGAAATTTCGG